AGGTGTAGAAAATTGCGATAGTTTGTATTTTTGCACCGCTGCATAAAACACATTCAGATGCAGGAGTATAATCACATCCTCATGGCTATAGGGGATTGATCCCCTTATAGATGACATATCCAAGTTGAGGAAGTGTCGATGAGACACAAATTATCATCACTCACGACAATAACCTTATCGAGAAATAACAAGTATAGAACCTTTCTTTTATATATATTTTTTCTAAAAAAAAAAAAAAAAAAAACGATATTATTGACTCGAAAAAAAATTGTCACCTCATTCCTTAACCAGCCTTTCTCCTTTCTCAATCTTTCTTTCTCGAATTTTTGTTATAATCATTGACATATCATGACAACTTTTTACAACCTTTCACTTATTGATCATTAAATCTTCATCAATACAAACGATACGGATATGGGTTTTACCGCCCTTTCTGATTTCATTTATGATTTGTAAAAGATTATATGATTATTGTCCCATGTCTGAAAGGAATTCGAGATTAGTATCACTCCCCACTTTACCATGCTTCGCCCCTTCTTCGCTTTTTCATTGTCAAACACTCTCCCTTTCGAGTTTTCTCCTTCAAATTTTTAGAGACTTATCTCTACTGTTGAGATGCGGACTTGCCAACCTAATAACAAAACTCTCTATTTCAAACAAATTTTCATCCGTATAGAACATCAGAGGCAGTGCAACATACCCAATTTCACTTATTTTTAACCAGTTATACAACTTGTGGCTCCGTTTTTCCTTCTATAAAACATTTTAATTTCAGACCCGATGAACATGTTTCCGCCATCGCATCTGCAAAGTCCTACTCATGGTCATGACATAAATTTGCTTACTCCGTGGAAAAACTGTAACTTGAACTAACGGATAGAGCAATTATTCATACCCTGAACATTCTTTTCAATCTACTCCAAGTAAAATATCAGCTTAGACACTCACGAAACTTATCAGAACAAAATAAGAAAGAGCGCAATTTCTCGTAGTATACATTCCTTCGACTCATCCACATGAAAACCAGAGTAGATAGACGAGTGTAAAGAAGACGAACAAACATTCATGATGCCCCATAGCTTGATCACGTTTGACAACACACTATAACAAAATTCATGCTTCTTATCATAAGTCTTCGTCCCAACAACACACTTACCTTTATCATCTTTCGTCGAGCCAACATGCTAGAGACCATCTTCAGAAACCTCTATTGTCTCATTCACCTTCCCAAATCATAAATTTTTTTTTTTTCAATGTCATCTCGTCCACAGAGATGTCGATCATTTTGTACACGATTCTCATAGCTTTACAAAGTGGTTCGAGACCGTCATTCTTCAAAGTCTCAAACCGCTTACGCTCTTCCTTCAGGAAATAAAACATGTCATTGATCTTAAGTTCCCCTTGTTAAGTAAGACCTTGATACCCCCACTGACATCCTTCTCGGTTTTCCTCTCCTTATTAGCGGGTTTCCATACACAACATTCATCTTCTCTTTGAGATTGGTTGCCTGACCACAATTATGTTCTCCACCGGTAGTAAGTCTACCCATCTGTTATTTAAGTTTTGCAACCTTCGCCTCAGCCTCAAACCTTTTTGTCTCTGTCACCACCCTTTCCGCTTTCGCTTTGATTTTTTTGCCCTCCACCGCAACTCTCTTATAGCTTAAGACCTCCACCTCACGATATCGACAATATTTCAAATCTCTTATGTTTTGTACTTCCCGCTTGAACCTCGCTTGCTTGTGAGTTTCAACACTACTTATTTTTTATTTGCACCCTGTACTGCACTCTGACGTTTTCATAACAATCGCGCCCCTTTTATTTCGAGGGTGGAGAGTCTCGTCCATCCACTACATTACCTTCCTTTTGAGTTCTCGGATTGCTTCCGTAGCAAGCTGAGCTCTGCTTAAGCCCCTCCATACCGCCGACTTCCCTTCCCTTTATCTCTTGAATCTCATTTCTCAAACTGACGATACTATCTTCTATAGGATTTTTGACCTCGTTCATTTTCTTTCTCAACTCATCGTTCTCCTTCAAAAGTCAGTCGATCAAACTTTCATTCTTAGAGACCTCCTTGTTCAACCTTTTTATGAATTGGACATTTATTTCCTTAGCTTCCCCATCTCCTCATTCTTCTTGCTTTTCTCCTTATCGTTAACCTGGGCGGATGTACTTGGTTTCGAACCCGACAAATAGCCCCCGTACGAAGATAAAATTTTGTTCTCCAAAAAAATTCCTACCCTTATTTAAAACGTCTCCCCACTCTTTTGTTTTTCCTTGTTTTTTGCTCCTTCTCTTCTTGTTCCAACTTCAATTATTCTTTAGCATCATGCTCATCCGCTTGATCAACATACGCATAACATTTGTCTTGCTTCTCCCGATTGGCTTTTCAAAAGTCGCTACGAGACGCATACCCCTTATACCAGCCTGTTGATACGCTTGCACAAGTGCATGGGTGTAGTTGGTCGGAGCATGTAGTGCCTATAGTGCTAGCAGAGGAGTTTCGTTGGCACCTGTGGTGACTCTATGATTCTACTAATATTGAGGACAATCCCTCAAGATGTGCCCCGCCACACCACAATTATACCAAGTTATTGAATCCGTCATCTTTGTCAAACCGAATGTTCATTAAGCGTCAATACAACCATTCAACTGTAGTATTATCTTTATAGTGGTTACCACCCGAAGAAATGAAAGTGTCTATGAATAACACATTTTATCCACTGTAATATGGTGAGCTAAAGATGGAGGTCCAATTATCTCATTACACTTTACATTCACAAGTCTCATGAAAGAGACGAACCCACTCACATCCGATAAGATATACAAGTTACAAGAAAGAGACAGAAAAGACACATACAAGCTCATGCTCTCGAACACGACCGATATGTAGTAAAAATTAAAAAAATGTGGCACAAACCTGAAAATTGACGATGCCACCAACATGATTGACACTATCGACAAGACTGGTGAACACTGACACTGCAACAGGTGCGACCCTACGCCGCGTTTTGGCTCGTTGTCAACCGACCCTCATGAAGGGTCAAATCGCCTCGAAACTGGAGGACGATCTACACCATTGACAAATAGTAAGTATTATTGTTCGCCCTACAACGAACAACGACAGACTCGTAGGCCCTCATCGAAAAGAGGAATGAGCGACCCACAGTTCGAGACTCGACTAAATTGATAAGACCCTTCGTAACCAGATTCTTGAAAAACACACCCTCTAAATCTAACCCTGAACCCGAAAAATATCCTACCTAAAAAACAGAAATGCACGAGAGGGACCAACAACTTGCAAAAAAATAAGAATGAAATAAATAAATAAATAAATAAAAATCGGACCCCTACTTGTCAGACCTCGCTTATCGTCAAACTGGTGGCCTCGACAAATGCGTCACCTCACTGCCTCCAAAAGATGTGAATGGAGCAGAATGTCCCCCTCACAAAAGGATTTTTACCTTCGTTGGACCCTTGATCTTAAACCACCAGTACTTTTGTGAGGGGGCCCTTAGTGTTAACGCTACGCGTTTCCCGCGCTTCGGCAAAGGCTTGGCATGGCAATGGGGGAGGGAGATGGTGGCCCCATGGAAACGGGCCAAAATGACTGCACGATGTCCTGGTGGTGTGCTATGTGGAAACGCACGGACACTGAAATAAACGAGGGGAAAAACAGAAACGAAAAGGAGAAAAAAATAAAATGAAACAGATCGTTGGCACCTCGTGGTCAGACTCCCCGTTGGACACGGGGAGCATTGAATGCCAGGCAGTGTAACGTCCACACTCTCCCAAATGTATCGCGACGTAAAACGCGACACGTGAGTGCATAGCTTGGTTTCACTTTTTTTTTTCTTTTTCTTTTTCTGAAGAACATCATTAGCACTTCGTGATCTGACTCCCCGTTGGACACGGGGAGCATCAAATGCCTGGCAATATAACGTTCACACGCTCCCAGATGTATCTGGATGTGAAACACGACAGGTGAGTGCATGGTTTCCCTTTTCACCTTTTTTTTTTTTTTTGCTTTTTCTGAAGAAGACCATTGGCACTCTGTGATCTGACTCCCGGTTGGACACGGGGAGCATTGAGTGCCTGGCAGTGTAACGTTCACACTCTCCCAAATGTATCTAGATGTAAAACGCGTCATGTGAGTGCATAGCTTCGTTTCCCTTTTCACCCGTTTTTTTTTTTTTTTTTTTTGAAGAAGATCTTCCGCACTGGCTGCACTCCTGGTGAGGCTTCAGGTGCCACCTGAGTGGAAACAAGAAAACGACGGCCTGTTTACGTTCCATCTGCTGGCAGCAGGTCCAGCATAAGGGGCGACACCTGCTTGAATATACAAATGTCCCGTATTTTTTCCCATTCACTGCAGGCTCGGCAAAAATCGTCACGCAGGGCATATTCAGGCTCGGCTTCAATAGCTGGGCCAAGTACTGGTGGTTTAATAATCTACACCTACCGGCAACATCCTACTTTGCAAATATGACCCGGTGTTTGCCAGTTTTTGCAAGGGCCCAGTGCGAACTGCCCTGCCCCGAATGGCGTGGGACACATTGCGAATTTGCAAGGGCCTCACAGGGACATAGCACAAACATTTCAGCCCTAAAGCGCATTCCGCTCTTCCCACAACTTTTGCGGCATTTTGGCATAAAATATCTGCTTACAGGGGTATTCTCCAAATGATCCCATCAGAAATTAAAATGAAAAAGAAGCAACAAAAATACGAACCCGGGCCGTGCCCCGGTGCTTGCCGTTACGCCACCTGACCCACCCTTCCCCTCCCCCCCCTCCAACGTCGGCCATCTTGCGACGTCGGAAAGCGCAGCGCCCGGTCGGACGGCCTCCACTGGACGCTTCCCGTGCTCAACCCTAGTAGGCACATAGGCACAAATATGTGACCCAAATAAAAAGGCGCGCCGAGGACGACGCGGCTCAGGCAAGTAGGCTTTCTGTTTTCCCGCCTCGCAGCGGTCGCACAGTGTAGTTTTCTAGGACTACACGCTGTCCGAGGGGTGGACACTCCACAGAACCGGGAGCTGGGCGCCACCTCCAGCAGCATCGTAGGAAGAGAGGAGGTGGAGGAGGCGTCACAGCTAGGTTGTCGCAGGGAGGAAAAGGAGGTCATTTTGGAGGAGTGTTGGGCTGTCGGGGATGACGCAACTTACTTGGGGGTGAGGAAGAAGGTGGCAGGCATAGCTGCCATACCTGCTGCGCCGGCAGGTGATCGTCAGCCAGGAGTTTCTCTGGGAGGATTGCCGCTGCGCCATCAGGGGGTCGTACGCTGCTGGCGCTTCTTTCAAGGACCCCGCGCTGTGCTTGAGCGAGAGAGACGTCCGATTGCTGCTCCGAAGATGAATCCGCGCGACAAGAAGGATGAGGACCGGGACGATGAGAGTAAGTCGAAGTGAAATTTATATTGCCTCTCCCCTGTCGCTCTCTCTCCGGCGGGAATGTATGCGGTCACTGATGCCAGGCCGTAGCGTGGGGGTTGCCTTACCCGGGAGTTCGGGCGCTTCGGGCTGAAGAACTCCTTTTGATGTCCGAAGAAGGGTGGGGTGGGAGAACGGTGAGGGCGGGAGGAGGGTAGGGAGGGAAAGAACGTGACGATGAATCTGTCTCTTTTGCTTTTGTTCCTTTTTCCAAACGTTTTTCTTCTTTTCTCTTCTGTTGTCCTGACTTCTGTTCCTGTCCTCCCCCCCCTCATTTGCGTTGTCCCTTAGGTGAATCCCTCTATGTTTTGCCATCATCGGGCGGCCAATACGAGAAGAGGCCACGCCATCAACATTCTATCAATGAATTGTTCTAGCCTTCGATGCACCGAATGATTGGTCGTTTGGGTGATCGACCGACGAATGGTGCGCTTGTGTTTGAGTCACATGGATAGCTCGATTAGGGTTGCAGCTAAAGAAAGGAAGGGCGAGAAACAAGGAGACTAAGATGGAAGGAAATAAGAGTCAAAGCAGAGGGGTAGGGTTTCGTCACACCACGCGACGTCCGGATCGGTAGTCAGAGGAGAAGAGGGAGGGGGAGAATGTAAACGTGGGAGGGATGTGTAGTTCCGTTGCGCTACGCGAATCCAAAGTGCTTCTCCAAAGTTAGTGACTGTGTGAAAGTCGCACTTCGATCCAAAGGTCAAACGCCTGCTTGAGAGAGTGTGTGTGTGTGTGTGTGTGTGTGTGTGTGTGTGATGTTTGTGCGTGTGTATTTCTTTTTATATTCGCTAAGCACATCTGGACGGGAAAGGGTGTGACTGTGACAGACTTTCATCGAACTTTTGTGTTGTTTGTGCGTGTCACTGACTTCCCTGACGAAGCGTTGTCCAGCAGCGAACTTCCTTTCGTTGGCCAGAGGTCATGGAACGAAGTTCGTGTGAGATCGGAGACAGAAATAGCCCGTTCATATTTTGCGAGGACGAAACTGCCCCGGTAAAAATGCTGCTTAGCATCTACAAATCCAAGTGCAGATCATGCACTTGGACATTGTCGCATCCAGGTGCATCCTGACTGGGTCGCGCTCCACGTTGGGCTGAATTCGAGGCCCAGCTTGAACAGATTCAACTCACGGCCGTGGTGGTTATCGACTCACCCCATGCCAACTCTTGCACAAGTGGAACTCAGGTTAAGCCAGGTCGAGTAGACTAGTTAAGCCAGCTCAGATTGATCTAAATTCGACCCGTCTCTAAGAGGCCCTGTTCAGGCGAACGGCACACCAGCGCAATTCAGGACGGTGAATTGAAGTCGGTTCATTGGGGCCGAAGTTAGGCACACTCCCAGTTGTTCCTGAGACGAGAATGCATTAAACTCACAAGAGTCAATACAGATGTCTGAACAAGAACGATGTCAGTAGCCACATGGACTTTGATGAATGTTTTGGGAAACAAGACACAAGAGTCGACACAGTTGCCAGAACTCGGTTTGAACAGGTCCATGTGTTGTCGCGTTAGTTACACCTTCCTTCGACACGGAGAGAGAGAGAGAGAGAGAAAGAGAGAGAGAGAGAGAGAGAGAGAGAGAGAGAGAGAGAGAGAGAGAGAGAGAGAGAGAGAGAGAGAGAGANAGAGAGAGAGAGAGAGAGAGAGAGAGAGAGAGAGAGAGAGAGAGAGAGAGAGAGAGAGAGAGAGAGAGAGAGAGAGAGAGCGCCGTGAAATGGATGCGTTGACTGTAGAGAGCGCCGTGAAATGGATGCGTTGACTGTGGGAAGCCATCGATGGTGCATGTAGTTCATCGCTGCATGTCCCCCTTGAGCATATCATTTGGATGCAAGTCAGTGAAGATTCAGTGTTACAATTTGTCGGAGGTGTTCAAGTCCGGACCTGCAGGGAGGAGAGGATGATTTACGGCGTGCGAAGCCCGGCTATCTATGAATTGATATTGGGGAAATAATCGAACCCAAGTTTTGGACGAAAATATTGGGGAAATAATCGAACCCAAGTTTTGGACGAAAATTTCTTGGTATCAATCACTTCGTCATTTCAAATGAGGAATGAGGAGGTTGTTCTTGGGACTTTCAGAAGCTGATGTGTAAGCTGCGACTGAGCAATGGTTGTTGTACGTGTATGCCCTTTTTTCGGGGGTTGGTTGGTGTGTTTGGGGCATGACAGCGGAGTACTCACCATTCTATGGGATTGAGAAGGGGGCGGTTCTCCAGGACTCTAGGGTTTTCAATGACCCTCAGCTCGATGCCAGGCGATGTGCCCAGGTGGGTCATTGGCTGCTTACCTTCTGCAAGAGCTCATTTTTACTCCGCACCCTTCATCGCTCGTACATCCCGTGCTCTCCTCCTTTCATATGTTCTCTGCCGGTTGGAATAATGCTACTTTGCACAGACTCAGTGAAGTGTCACTCCATTTTCTCGAAAGATTAGTGCTGCTTGTGGACTGAGATTAGATAATGGCGAATATACGCCATCAGATTGAATGATATAGGAATAGTTGCCACCCAAAAAAGAACAAAAAGAAATGGTCTCGATTTTGGACGATTTGTATCTCAAAGCCTAGCTGGAGAGAACAAGATACTCCGCGAAATCAAAGTCAAAGCAAAAGCTTGACAGCCGTTTGAATTGGCTGGAATCGTTCGAAGTGGTTGGAATCGTGCTAGAGAAGGGTCTGGGTTGCTCAAGATAGGTGGTGTGAAACTAAGGGCACAATGATACCTTGGTGCCTGCCTTTCCTAGATGTACCACACCTGAATTACGACCGAATTCTGTCCTCGGTATCCTGACAATTGAAAATTGAAATCAAGGTCTAGAGTATGCTCCGAGTGACTCAGAGTGGTTTGCACTCCTCTGTGAACGTAATTGGTGAAGTTTGGATCCTCGTGAAGTGAGTTTGGATCCTCGTTAAGTGTGCGTTGAAACGTGTTACCGAAGGATCAAGAAGCTATGGAAGTAACCCTTTTGCGACTCTTATCAAATGATTTACAAAATGTTTCTTTTTATTTTTTTCACGTAAAATATATCAATCTAGTGGAATATTTGGAGTTCTTCTCTTACCTTTTGACCGGAAATACACATCGTATTAAGTTCATAAGACGAAGACGAAGAGGAAAAAGACCAGGAAGACGACGGGAAAGAAGTAGAAGCATACGCGGAAGGAGCAGGAGCAGGATCACAAGCCGCAACAGCAGAAGAAGAACCAGCACAAGCGAAGAAGAACAAGCACAAGTAGAGCTCAAGCGGGAGCACAAGCGGGAGCACAAGCGGGAGCACAAGCAGGAGCAGAAGGCAGCAGTAGCAGCAGCAGTTTGTATGTATGCGCGGATTCTGAGCTGAATTGACTGTCGTGCTTGATGGTGAATGCTTCTGGTGGTGCAGGTTATTACGAAGCTTTTGTATTTACTGAATCAGGGAGAGACATTCACAAAGGTGCGTTTATGGGGTTCGCTGCTCTCTATCCTGTCTTGCAATTTGTTGTTGTATTAAACCTATCGGTCAAATTTTATGTAAATTGGGTGTATAGGTTTGTAATTCGAATTGTCAATGTATTTGAGTTTAGTTCGACCACGAGGCTTTAATTTGGCTACTTGTCCTCTGGGGCAGCTGAGCAAGTTATGGTGTGTCGTTGCACATTAAAAAGAACTTGACGACATGCATTAAAGAGTTTGTTTTTTTGTATCGGATTTGGTAAGCGTCGTTCTGAATACAGAGAAATCGTAAAAAACAAGAAAAAAGGGGGAACTTGAGCGTAGAGGTTTAGATCTCGGTTCAAATCCCACCTGCTAATAAGTTGTGAATTTTGTTCACTATTACATATCGGACAGAACTTTTAAGCCGTTTGGTTCAGACTTGGGTTCGAATCCTAGCCTTCTCTTAAAGAAAACGAGTTCTGAATTTGGTTTATTGACATACAGACAGACGGCTATATCGGGAAGAAGTCTCCACTCAGCTATGTATAGGCATGTACGAAACCTCGCATACAGCGACTAATCCATCCTGCCTTTTTGTTTAACTTATTCCGCGACTGATTTCGTGGACTTGCGTAGTCTTCCTTTTATATATTTGCATTTGTTTTCCTTACGGGCTATATGTAATAATGTTCCTGTATTTATAGATGGGAAACCTTATCGAGGTCCAATGTATATTTTTCCCTCCATCATATCCATTTTGTTTGATTGAAGTCGCATCGATCTGATTTTTCGTCCGTTCGATTGTTGTGGTTTTATTCAGCTGTTGGAAGTTAATTTTCCCTCCAACATGTGAGTGTGCATTTCTGATATGTCCCCAGGGTGCAGACCTGGGTTCGAACCCAGTGTGCATTTCTGATTTGTCTGCTAGGTTCCGGCCCTGTTTGGAATGGAAAAAAAAAAGAAAAACACCTTATCCTCCGCAGTGATGCAAGTGGCACTTTGTCAGCTTGTGCGCTTTCCAGCGTTCGGTTAAACAAGTTGCAGCGAATGTTGTGGTCATTGGTTTCCACAGGGTGTGGTGTCGCTGTGTAGCCTCTCTGCTGTATGGCCACTTGACTGGCGGACGAAACATTTACCTGACCTTCGTCTCCTATTTTTTTTCCCCTCTCGTCTCGGATGCAGACAGAGGCGACGGAAGTTTTCTTTGCTGTGACCAAGCTGTTCCAGTCCAAAGATGTGGGCCTCAGACGAATGGTTTATCTCATGATAAAAGAGATTTCTCCGTCTTCAGATGAGGTATGTGTGATACATACAGCTGCTTTGCAACAAGTATGGCCCTTCAGTGTGAATTGGAAGCTCAAACCGATATGACTACTAGCAGTCCCTCGGAGACTCTCTTTCCTGACCTGGATTGTTTTTGTGCCGAAAAAGAATGGACCAGTGTGGGCGCAAAATATTTTTGTCTGGCCGCTGCGGTGGAACAAATGGCTGTGAAAGGGACTGGTGTTTTAACGACAGGGTCCTGTGCCATGTGTTTTGGAGTTCCCTGCTGTTTATCTGCAAGCTCCGCTGCCGCGGTGGAACAAAATGGCTGTGAAAGGGACGGGTGTTTTAATGGCAACTGCGCTGTGATCCGACGACAGGGTCCTGTGCCATGTGTTTTGGAGTTCCCTGCTGTTTATCAGCAAGCTCCGCTGTCTCCAGGAAACGTATCCCACCATTTGAGGCCATACTATTTGCCGCAGGATTTTGGTCATATGAGCTTGGCCCAGCATCGAAACCTGATTAGCTGGTAGGGTCCTGTGCCATGTGTTTTGGAGTTCCCTGCTGTTTATCAGCAAGCTCCGCTGTCTCCAGGAAACGTATCCCACCATTTGAGGCCATACTATTTGCCGCAGGATTTTGGTCATATGAGCTTGGCCCAGCATCGAAACCTGATTAGCTGGTTGAGTCTTGGAATCCATGGTGGTTCATATTGGCTTTGTGTACGTGGAAGCTGATGTTGCATATGTGGTGCTCGATAGTCATCAGGGGCATTGTTTCATGGGCATGGCAGTTCATCCACGTTGTCAATACGTCACGCCTCTGCATATCCTTATACAGCCACTAGATATATTGTGCGTGTGCACACACACGTACCCACACACACACACACACACACACACACACACACGCACACACACACACACATGCAATGAATTGCAGTGAGATGCCGTACACTAATTTTGTTGCTGCCTGTTTTGTGCTTTCCGGGATTCCATCCCGTGACTGGTATTGTGTGTGTGTGTTTGTCTGTGTGTACGCTAACTGTGTTTGTTGGTTCCTTGTTTTGGGCGTTGGAGGACTTGAACCCGTGACTTGTAGTGTGTTTGTGGTGTGACACTGTTCTTGAGGTTTATTGGGCTTGAACCTTGAACCTGTCGCTAGTAGTCTCTACTTCGTAGTCTTAGGCCACTCAGCCTTGTTGTTTTGTCCTTTTCTGCCCTTCTGGAAACTGGTAGGCCCGTAGGTATTTCTTTGTGTGTCCTAGCCTTTGGTTCCCTTAGTCTAGGATTCCATCTAGATGCATGTAGGTAGATGTGTCTGTTTGGACGGGGTCTGTAGGTGGTTACTGTGTTGCAGGTCTAACGAAGTCGGGTAGAAGTAGGCAGGGGCCGAGGAATTTCGGGTTCTGCTTCGTCATTTTTTTTTCACGAAGTGCTGCTGGAGGTCGCGGCTGGAGCTGCGCTAATTCAAAGTGCTCGTTCGTCCTCCTCGTTGAAGGGAAGCTGACGGCCATAACTGGGCTTACCTGGCTGGTGCGGAATTGGCCCAGGGACATCAGGCCCTGCTCTGTGTGGTGCTTCCTCCATAGCTGTCCTATTGGGTTTTCCACAGCTGCCATCGAAGCAGCTTCTCTATGCCTGCTTCGAGGTGGCAGATCTTCATCTTCATCTATTTGCTGTTCTTCTTCATCATCCTGGGAGCTGTGCTCCCCTGCTGAGTGGACACTTCATCTGCAGTGGGCTTCTCGAGTGGTGCCGAGGGGTGTTGGATTTAGGAGGGTGTGTGGCGATTGGCAGGCTTGATAGGTTGGGTGCCCGCAGGCACCATAGCTAGAGCTTGAGGAAGAGGGAGGAAGAACATGACTCCCAAAGTATTCGATGAAATCTTGTAAATAATTGGTCCATGGGTGTTGATAACGTGTTTGGGATTCTTGGAACAAGTATTCTGGATTGATTGGAGGAGGATGAGGGATTGCAGAATTGAAATTCGTTTTTCAATTCTATGTATTTTGAGCTTCCACTGTGCATATCTCCTCTCTGGTTTTGTGTGGATTTGCCTCCTTCGAGTCTACTCTGAAATTGCATGCGTGTATGATAACGTGTGAATTCGTTGTGGATTGAAGTTCAATCGGGTATAACACACACACACACACACACACACACACACACACACACCTGTCTCTTATACACATCTAGATGTGTATAAGAGACAGGGATAGAGAGAGAGAGAGAGAGAGAGAGAGAGAGAGAGAGAGAGAGAGAGAGATGCTGGCAGAACTCCAGTGGATGCTCAGCGTCAGCGGTGTGGGCAGTAAAGTGGCATCCACTTGAAACCAGGATGAATGTAGCACCCTCTGTGGCCTGGCGGAGTGTTCCTATTTGCAGGAACATCAAAACGGAATGCCGGCCCATCAAGAGCCACAGCTGTGGCGTTTGCTCTGAATTCTAGCTGTTGAGGTAAGATTGCTTTTGGCGAGGGTAGAAGTTTGCTTAAATGTGGGGGGGAAGGGGGTTTCGGTTAGCACTGGCCATTAGGGGAAACCCTTCCACCTCAGGAACAGAACTGTAGGTCATCAAAGACCAGACGAGTTTGCAAATGGTGCCTCTTTGGCAAACATGAGCAGCTTGTCATTTTTACTGGGTTGAAAAGATTGTTGTATGATATGTTTGCAGAATGATCACTGCATGTTTCTAGTGGATTTCTATCAGTTGTTGGTGTGAAATGGTTGTCAAGTTTCTTCCACTTTGGAGTTTCCCCAAGTGTGTGTGCATTGCTGAAGGTGGTGTGGTTGTCCTTGTTCTTTGTCTCTGTGCAGGTCATCATCGTCACAAGCTCTCTGATGAAAGATATGAACAGTAAGACGGATTTGTATCGGGCAAATGCAATCCGTGTGTTGTGCAAAATAACCGACAGTGCATTACTTGGCCAGATCGAGCGATACTTGAAGCAAGCCGTCGTAGACAAGAACGTTGTCGTTGCAAGTGCAGCTCTTGTCAGCGGGATTCATCTTCTTCAGGTGAGAAATCGCCGCATTTGGGGAGCACACACTCTTCTTCTGGACCCACCGACTGGTCTACATAGTAGGTCCTGGAAGTTTAGATATCTGAGGACAGGTGTACTTGGTGATCTCCTGACGGTATGTCTTGATGTGACTGGAGCAAAGTGTGCGTTCGTATGATGTTGTGTATGGTATGTCTTGAGTTGGATACTACAGCCTTGCAGGGGTAGGTTGAAGTGTGCGAGAATTGCCGTGTCCGTATGGGGTTGCGTGTGGTGTGTGTTGAGTTGGACACTACAGCCTTGCAGGGGTAGAGTGGACATCACGGCCGGTATGGTTCCACTTTTTGAACACCGTGTCCTGGCTGTAGCGGTTAATGCACTTTGGCGTTTGAGGCTGGGGTCAGCGGTTCGAATCCGTGCTTGCATGGAAGAGGAGACTTAGTGCTCAGATGTGCGGATGCATAGTCGCTTGCTGTGATGTCAAGCATTTAAAAAAAGTATCCCTTTAAATGTAGCGATTCGTTGCTATGCAATCCTGGCCGTTGACTGGATGCTGCTGCCTCGGCAAGATGCCTATGTTCTCCTTCTGTTTGGTCTTGCTCCCTCACACCTGAGCTTCTTCACCTATTGGGTGGTCAGTTTTGGAGTGTTGTTAGGTAGGACTTTTACCTGGATTTCCATTTGGAGAAAGCTTTTGTGTGCAGACTATGAAAAAAATAGGATGGTCCTGAACAGAGCTCTCTTCTCCCTACACCATATGTGCAACCATTACCCTGCTTCTGCTCTTTTCGTGAAGCCCTTGCTGATCATTTCTTGCCACTGCCAGTACGGGATTGCACGAGAAGCGGTATTTGTTTTTTTGTGGTCCCTTTCTCTTGCTCTTTTCAATGGTGCTCAAAGCACCATTACACCACACATAGGCCCGCGGGTGTCAGCATGAGACCTGCACCACTTCGGAGGCCGCCAATTTTTTTTTTCAACGGCGCCGTGGGCTGCGTGGTGCCTCCGAGTTTTGCTTGTAGCGACAAAAATGGTGGGGCCGTGTACTAGCGGTTTCATACCCTTATGTTCATCTTTCGCTGCATTTTAGGCCTCAGCTTTTAGGAGCTGCCTTATTGTGGCCTTGGATGGGGACATGTTGAATACCGCACAGAACAGTCGTTGCTGAATGGTTCATGCTTTTATGCCTTTCTGCAGACAAACCCAGACATTGTTCGAAGGTGGAGCAATGAAGTGCAGGAGGCAGTTCATTCCAAAGCGCCGCTTGTGCAGTTCCACGCACTGGCTCTGCTTCATCAGGTGAGGTTATTTGGCAGTCTCTTTTTTTCCCCTCTTTTCCTTTCGCTCTTCTCTTCTCCTTTCTCTTCCGCTTTCACTTTTCCTCGCTCCCGTCCTCTCACCACCTGCTGTCTCACATTATGTTTTTTTTCCCAAAAAATTAAATTTGCCTCAAAATTCACCTGCCGTCCCTCGTTTTTTAATTTTTGCCCCCAATAAATCTCCATATCCTTGTCGATGTTAACAGTTCTTAGCTGTTTGTGCACCTGCTGTTAGGTTGTCGTAAGAAGCTCAGGAGAGCTACGTAAGACCAGGTCTGATTCGATGAATGTCGCAGAGGATGATGTCTCATAATTAATTTTGGTCTGATAGAAGGCGAGTATATTGCCTCTATTCTCTCCATTGATCTGGTGGAGAGTTCAATGTTTATTTGATGCCAATTGTGTGTGAGAATTTGGTGAAGTTATACTCGAACATGCTGACAGGCATGTGTTGTGCCAATGTGGAATATGCAGATTCGACAGAACGACAGACTTGCAGTGAGCAAGCTTGTGACTAGCCTGACCAGAGGGGCCATTCGATCACCGCTTGCACAGTGTCTTCTCATTCGATACACCAGCCAGGTGAGGAAGTACTCTAGATAGTATATATATTGTCAGTGTGTGCTATGTTTTGAGTTCATTTGCAATGGATGTGGAAGTTGAAATTAAGCCATTCAGCTCACAGAGTCATTACTTTCGTGTGGGAACGGTGTGCGAAGCCTTTTGCAGTGTTCATTCAGGCCAATCAATTGAACGGGAACGGTGTGCAAACCCTCTTGCAGTGTTCAGGCCAATGAACTGTTCATCTGTTGTTGGTGAGGCATGTAGCGAATAACTAGTTTGGATGCTGGGAGGGCACTTAACTAAGTCTGTGTAAATCCGATGGGACTTGTGAGTAGTGCGTCATTGGGAAAGAGATTTTGACTGCCGAGTTGTCATCGATTGCCACTCAGTCTGGGCATAGGAATGGTGAGCAAAGTCTCTGAAATTTAAGGGCGAGGAATGACGCACTGGCCAGTCTCTGAGCAGCATGGAAAGGAGCTGACATGTGTCTGATGATGACGAGCATAATGGTTGCCCGTGATTTTTTACGCACTCATTGTTTACGCTGACAAAGTGAATGAGGAAATGATCGAAGGGAAAGGTGGCTTCAGCGATAATGTGGAACGGGGAGGCTGTAGTTGATTTGATTGATACTCCTGTCTTGACTCTAGATTACGTGCATCAACGGCTGTGAGACCTTGCCACTGGTCCTTGGAAGTGGCGTTGCACTGGGGAGAGGACCCAGATCATTGGATCTTCGTTCTGGACCGTATATGAGAAGGGTGAACGGCCAGAAACACAACCCGAGTAAATGGGACCTTGCCCCTGTTGTTTGGGTCTTTTGTTGCAGAGATTGAAGCTGTCCTTGCATCCCAGTGCCTCTCATGCATTCCTCACCGTAGATTTTTATCCCAATATCTTTGTACTTGTTTTGCTTCTTAGAAAGCTTTTTAAAGATTGTTTTATGCATTTGTATTTTTTGAATTCCCCGATCATGAAGATTGATAAAGCTTGTGGGTTGTGAATGTTCTGATGGGTGCGTCTGTGCATGCATTGGATGGTTGCAAGTGACAGACAGGTTGAAACTTGAACGCATGTCTTGACAATTGTGGGGTTGTACTTTCCGCAGGTCATCCATGAAAGCAGCAATGGGCAAGGCGACCGACCTTTCTATGATTTCTTGGAAAGCTGTTTGCGGCACAAGGCAGAGATGGTCATATTCGAAGCGGCACGAGCCATAACGGAGATGCGTGGTGTTACGAGCCGTGAACTTTCGCCTGCGATCACGGTTCTGCAGCTCTTCCTCAGTTCCTCGAAGCCTGTACTTCGGTTTGCAGCTGTGCGAACGCTGAACAAGGTGCGGAAGACTGCTTCCCTACTAGTGGTCCTGATTTTTCCATGTTGGTGCATGGCGGTTGAAGGGCACACAGACATCATCCCGTTTCTCCAATGGGCAGGCTGTTGATTGATGCGCTCATTGTGATATGCAAGTGTATCATCACAACAGCTTTTGAGGTCCGAGCGTCTGTGCTTGTCTGCCGCGGCAGTGCCATTTTATTGGCATGTTTGCGTGATGATGGGAGTATTAACCTGACTGCTTGCGTTTGGAAATGCCTGAAAGCATTTGCTGCATTCAGCTGTGTGCTGCAGCTTTCTGAGGCTCACGGCAGGGGGAAGTTTGTCACTGTGGAAACGCAACCATATGTATGATTGCTGAAATGTACTCACTGCCATATGCATGGATTGGCGCACCGGTTTGGTTGTCTTGATTTGGGTTCTGAGACGGAGATTGGGGTTTATTATCGTGACGGCTACCTAGTCAGTTTGGAAAGGCCTAAAATCGTTGATTTGCTGCATTTGATCATATGGGGCTATTGTTGTAAGGGCACATAAGTTTGGAAAGGCTTGAAAGTGTTCGTTTGCCGCATTTAGGTCATACTCACACTAGCACTTATTTGTGAACAACATTACGGTCAGATGCATCTAGGTCTGCCCATAATTTCAGTCAGATGCATTTTGGAAAGCTCGCTAGTGTGAGTATGCCCTTAGTTCTGCCTTGCAGCTTACCACGGCTTATGGCAGTGGCATGATTTCTGAAATCCATCAGCTGCTATAACATGGGTTGGGGCACACATTAGTTGTCTTGCTTTGGGTTCTGAGTGGAGCTCCGGGGTCTTAATGACATAGAAAGACGGCGTTGCTTTCGGATGTGAGCAAGACTGGAGAGTCATTGCTCTGAGGATCCCGCTTAAAAGAGACATTCTCAATTCATAATTATTCGCACTAGCAATCGTGTTACATCAATTTTTTTTTCCCGATTTTGTTGTTGTTTTAATTAGGCTTATCACTGATGTTTCTGTGATGATTCTTTACTGATGTTTGTGTTTCTGAGGCTGTTGGCTGTTGCAGGTAGCAATGACTCACCCTCTTGCAGTGACAAATTGTAACATCGACATGGAGAGTTTGATTTCAGACCAGAACCGCAGCATAGCTACCCTTGCTATCACGACATTGCTGAAGACAGGCAATGAGTCAAGTGTTGACAGGCTGATGAAGCAGATCACCAACTTCATGTCAGACATTGCCGATGAGTTCAAGATTGTGGTGGTGGAAGCAATCCGCTCACTGTGCCTGAAATTCCCGCAGAAATATCGAACGCTGTGAGTTCCATAACCCTGAGCGCTTGTACTGAGTGTTGATGTCCGTTGCAATTTTGTTTTCTGCATCGCAAGGAGTTCTGCCAACAATTAATATTGAGAACATTGCAAGGGACCTGACTGTCCACAACTTGCCAGAGTGTATCACAATCCATGCCATGTTACCAATCAAACAGATTATGTACCAACACAGCATGAAGTAAAGATGAGATGTGAACCAAGATGCGCAGCTCATATTATCTCCAACAAATTATAAGAGTATCTCGATTCAAGAACCAACAGTGCGATATGTCTCTCCTTCTCATACAACTGCAATGTGAGGCCTGGCTCATCCAGCGTCAACTCTCAACAACAAGTTAAATGCATAACAGGTATGTCTCCACCATAGCCAACATCGTACATGTAATGAACCCAGGCGAGATAACACTTCATTGGACATCCAGATACTGTTCACAGCAATGCGTGAGCATCAGCGCTCGTGCAGCACAAGTCCAATGGCTCAATAACAAAGCAACTCGAGTAATCCAGTCTTGTTGATGAATAATGTCGATCAGATCTGTTCCCGTAACCGAGTATATACATACATAGACAAGAGAGAGAGAGGGGGAAGAAGAGACTTAGAGGGAGAAGAAGAAGAAGCCCACTTCTTCTTCAGGCCAAACAGATTCGCCCCCTCTCCAGCAGCGTCATTCCAGACACAGATCCGAGTTTGCCACGTGGCACATCAGCATTCTCTTCACCAATGGAGCAGCAATGTCGCCTCAATAAACAGGTATGTGTCATCTCATCCCCACAGTCCCTGACCTCCTTCCGGACGACGAAAGTCTGAACAGTGAATGAACACGTGGCACAGCTACGTCACCATCACACTACGTGGCAGCAGCCACATCAGCAATGACACGTGGTGCTGCCATGTCAGCACCTTGTAGACAGGAGCAAGCCAGCCACCATGCCAGACAGCAAGCAGCGTGTCGATGCTGAAGAACACCAGCGCTCAGCCAGCAAGTAGCCAGCATCTCACAAGCCAGTGTCGCGTCAAAGTAGAGTCAGCTTTGACTTGCGACCGAATGCCCCCTCTCCAAGCCAGGAGTCAACCTTAAGTAGTGTTGACTCGGCGGTCAATGCCCCAGTGCAGCGGTCCTGTGCCGTTCAGATCTTGATGCTGCGACTGCCTGGATCGGTCTGCAACCGATTCTCCCTTGGTCTGATGTCTTGGCCTGGTACCTGCATACAAACACATGTGTGTATCTGTTCGTGGACTTGGGTACGGTACCTGCGACCCGACAGTTGACTTTGACCTTTGAATTTCCCCCAGTCCAGCGCTGGGTCTCACTGGCCAGACGCTGGGCTGAGCCGGGCAGTGCGTGGTCACACAGCCTCTCCTCTGCTGAGTGCGGGTTACTGCATTCCTTCCGACTCAATTTCGAGTTCCATCGCAGAAATAAATCAACTTTTCAACCCACGCTCATATGCAGAGACGATGTCAGGAGCAGTTTCAAGGAGTTGCTGTTTGCTGAACCACCGATCCTCGGAAGGTTTTTGAGTCTTAAACCTTACCTTGAACTGCTTTGGCGGTCGTCCACGGTGGTGGAGAAAAACCCATGGTCTACAATCCGATCTACTTCATAACTTCCTTCCATCGAAGGTGGAATCACAGAAGGCCTGTTAGGAAACTCGTCTCCCTCCAGATACGGTAGCAACTTAGAGGCATGGAATACACGGTAGGTTTTGAGATGCGGGGGAATATCAATTCTGTAGGACGGTCCTTCTGCATCTCCAATTACTTTGAGAACTTCCCAGGGCCCAAAGTAGGCAGGCAGCAATTTCTGTGAAACATCTTCCAAGGAGAACTCATTAGACTTTACCCAAACCATGTCACCCACTTGAAAGTTAGCAGGTCTTCGATGTTTCTTGGCCTGGTTAATCATCTGTTCTTGTGCTTTCTTTAGTTTCTCCTTAACTTTCTGGATGTCTTCCTGGAACAGAACTGCATATTCATGAGTCCCTGGCGGTAGCCGTAAAAATTGGTCCCTGGTCAATACATCAATGGGACGTCGTGGCTTCCACCCTTTATGTAGTGCGTTAGGAGTACGTCCGGTTGCAGTGTGGACGCTGCTGTTGTATGCACTACGAGTGCCGTATGCGTCCATCAGCTTTTGCCATGGCATACTTGTGAACCTCACATCCCTGTCAGATACAATAGACATTGGGAATCCATACTCAGTCACCCATCGCATCTGAAACTTGTGGATCACAAGCTCAGTTTTCGCTTCAGCAGGCAAAGGAATAAACATTGCATACTTGGAGAAACGATCAACTACAACCATCACTTGAATGTTGCCATTTCGACTCTTGACGAGACTCATGAAGTCTATGGAGGTAGACTCACCTGGTTCGCTGGGAATCGTTAAGGGCCTTAGTAGGCCCAGAGGGTTCTCATGTGGTGGTTTGTTTCTATGACATTCTAGACAAGTATGCACATACGTTAGTACATCTTCCTTTAGTCCTTTCCAATCGAAGCGTTCTCTTACTTCTGCATAAGTTTTCTTGAAACCAAAATGTCCTGCAAAGTCATGGCATTCCCCAATCAGCAGACTTTTAATCTCTTCTTTGTGAGGAATACACAACCGTTGTTCAGTTTGGTCTATCAAGAAAAGCAATTTGTTATCTTATACTTGGGTAGTAGGGCAGGATCCTTAGTGACAAGGTCAATGATGGGTTTCCAGATAGGATCATTAGCATAGCCTTGTCGAATCTGTTCCTGCACATCATTTCCAATATCCAAGTAAGAGACAATGGTTCCAAAGAAATCACTTCTCCTAGACAATGCATTTGCCACAATGTTAGACTTACCTTTGATTGTCTTCAACTCAAAGTCAAAGGTGTCGAGGAAAGCAGACCATCGTACTAGTTTGTCAAAGAGTTTTGGTTGAGTCTTTATCCACTTCAGTGTCGAGTGATCTGAGTAGACAGTGAAGTGTCTCCCTAACAAGTAGTGTTTCCAGGATTTCAGTGCACAAACAAGCGCATACAATTCCCTTTCGTAAGTGGAGTCTGCGACCTTCTCAGTAGGAAGTTTGGCCGACATGAACTCAATAGGTCTGTAACCCTTACCATCGTCCTGCTGTAGAACTGCGCCAATTCCATACTGACTTGCGTCAGTGGTCACAATAAAGGGAAGAGATGGGTCAGCGATTTTCAGAACAGGGTACTGAGTCAGTGCATATATTAACTTCTTCATCGAGGACTCACAATCCTTGTCCCACAACCATGTGGTTCCTTTCTTCAGGAGTCTTCTCATGGGAGCAGCAACTAACAAGAAGTTCCTAGCAAACTTCCTATATAGTAACTGGCTAACCCAAGGAAGGACCTCAACTTCGTGATGAACTTGGGTTGTGGCCAATCTCTAATCGCTGAAATTTTCTTCGCTTCCGGTCGGAGTCCTTCCTCATTGACTATATGCCCTAAGTAGAGCACTTCAGGTTTTGCAAACTCAGACTTCTTTGTTAAGTTTGAAATTACCTCGTGTAGCTTACCCAAGACGAGGCGCAAGTGTTTCTCGTAATCCTCCAGCGTTTTGCTGTAGACTAGGATGTCATCGAGATACACAATTACTAACTGATCCAACCACTGTCGAAATAATTCGTTCATAGACCTTTGGAAGGACGCAGCGGCATTCGTCAATCCGAAGGGCATGACCACAAACTCGTAGTGTCCATACCTGGTTCGAAAAGCAGTGTTGTGTTGATCTTCGGGTGCCACCTCGATTTGGTGGTACCCCGACTTCAGATCAATCTTGTTGAAGTACTTGCATCCCTGCAGCTGATCCAACAAGTCGTCAATTCGTGGTAGGGGTTCAACGTGACGGAGTTCAACCCTCTATAGTCAATGCATAAACGCAACTCACCTTCCTTTTTGGGCACAAATAAGAGAGGCGCTCCATAAGGTGAGGAACTAAGGAGAATCCCTCCTTTGTCAGTTAATTCCTGGAGTTGCTTGCGCAATTCTCCAAGTTCCCTAGGCGACATTCGATAGATAGGGCCCTTGGGAGTCTTACTTGCAGGAATGATCTCGATAGTGTGCTTGATAGCACGCTCAGTGATCCCAGTAGGTTCCTGAGTTTTTGTATCGATGGAGGATAACGTGTCGAAGATTCACCAACTTCCTTTACCAACACCATAATTACCTCCTGATCTAATTGCTTCTTCCTGACCATCGATCGAAAAGCTGGATAGCTCATACAACAGAAAGACAGAGAAGAGTCAGATCCAGACTTACGATACAGTTTGATGGCCTCGAGTTCAGATTGCACGTTTTTCAGGCGTACTTCCTTTTTCTTGAACTTGATTTCTGGGTTGGCTTCCTCGTGCCAATCCATTCCCAGAATCATATCAAAAGGCAAGAAGGATACTTCATGCACAATCTTCTTTCCAGTTTTAGTTCTGAACTTACATTTCACACGATCGACATAATGAGAGATAGTGATCGTGCTTTTATCAGCAAAAATAGACGTTATAGGTCGTGCTAAACACTTTACTTTCATTCCAAGATGAAGCTTGCGAATAGCTGTCTCAGAAATGTAGGATCGTGTAGATCCTCAATCTAAAAGTGCACCCGTCCGTTCGTGTGTGATCTGTACATCCGCGAGTAATAGTTCACCCTTAGACTTTGCTTTCTTTGCCCATGAGCTTCGTAGTGCCAGCAACTCATTACCAAGCTCATCAAAGGAGTCATCCAGAGAGACAGAACATAAGACAAGTTCAGGGTGATCTGGATGATGGGTCGAAGAACAACCATCCTCTGCCACGTGAGTCGAAGAAGTGAAAGGGTTAGTAGGCGCCTTACCTTTCTCATCGTTTGACTTCTTCAACTCAGTAGGAGCAGATGCTACTCCTACTGGCGGCTCGCTTTTCGGTGTCGGATGAGTGGACACCATGCAATGATGTGTCCCTCTTTTCCACATTTCAAACACTGCGCATTGTCCATCCTATCCTGCCAGGTCT